CAGGATGTTCTGTTTTATTACCAGACACAATAATGCTACTTTTCTCATCAGGGGCACAAGGCTATTTTCTAATAATAGGTACCCTATGTGGGAAAAGGGGGAACAAATTCTACCTAATTAGGCTGCCATGGAGACCAGACTAACTTCTACTTTTTGCTGCTTCTCTCTGGCCTGAGTATACTTTCATCCAAGTTGAGAGGAGCCTTACCTTTGACTTAAGTGGAATGGAGTGAAACCTTCTCTTTTGTACTTTCTGGGGTCTGACCCCTGAATAAAAGAGTGGCATTTCTTGTAGTGAAGATAGTGTAAACACCAGCACCCAAACTCAGGCTCTTTCTGGCTGTTTCCTTGTTACTTTTAAAACCAACTCAAACTTTCAAACTAGGATGACAGGTAATTACAGTTCTAATCGTTGCTTTGCCTTAAGGAAATTTCTTGATGATATCTAACTTTGAGTTTAGCTTTTTAATTTTGCATGTCCCAGTAACACACTTATGTACTGAAGTGGATACAGCACAGTTTTTCTGGTCCATCCATTCACAAGCATCGTTTGTAAAATTATCTGTCTACCTCAGTTTGCCAAAGCATACTCTGGACTGTGACAGCATTGTCTCATGAGCTTTTTATTTACTCCCAAGACCAAATGAACAAAGATAATTAGTATAAGTAAACCTGCTGGGGGAATAAAATTAAAAAGAGTTACATATTTAAAGATACTTAATTCAGGTTAAAACTTTTGTTTGTAAAAGTCCTCACTGTTTTTCATTTAAGTATTTTTTAAATTAAGGGAGAAAAGGGGAAGTAAACAGAACTGGATGTTGACATTTTCAGCAATGAAATATTATTAGCTGTAAAATAAGCGATACAGGTTTTCTGATGGAAAAATAGGTTTAGATTTTTGGTTTTACAGACAGTTACATTCCTACAGTTTGAGTGATACCAACAGTGATGCCAGAATCACTGCAGAATCACTGCAGGGCTTGCCTTCCGTCCTCCCAGCTGCTTATTTGCATTGTCTGTGCTTAGTACACAAGTGAAGAGTCACTGAGACCAAGGGACCAAAGCACTCTTTCCTCCAAAGGAGAGGTGAGTCTGTCATGGACAGATACATTAAATAGGAAGAACACAAGATCAAATTGCCTCATGTGAGTACTGCTTTCAGCTCTGAGGGTCTCCAACCCACGAAGGATATGGGTTGTTAGAGCGAGTCCAGAGAAGGGGCACAGAGGTGGTCTGAGGGCCAGAGGACCTCTTCTGTGGAAACAGGCCAAGAGGGTTGGGCTTGTTCAGCCTGGAGAACAGAAGGCTCCAGGGAGACCTCAGAGCAGCTCCAGTGTCTAAAGGGGGTCTGCAAGAAATCAGAAGAGCTGCTTTTTATAAGGGCATGTAGTGACAGAGCAAAGGAGAATGATTTTAAACTGACAGAGGGGAGATTTAGATTAGATCTTAGGAAGAAGTTCTTGCCTGTGAGGGTGGTGGGGCACTGCCACAGGTTGCCCAGAGAAGCTGTGGCTGCCCCATCCCTGGCAGTGTTCAAGGCCAGGTTGGATGGGGCTTGGAGCAACCTGGTCTAGTGGAAAGTGTCCTTGCCCATGGCTGGGGATTGGAACCAAATGAGCTCTAAGATCCCTTCCAACCCAAACCATTCTATGATTATTTATGGAAGCACTTTCTTATCTAAAAACCAGAAGACTAAATTCCAGTTCTGCAATGAGACCTGAGCCAATATGTAGAGCTGTAGCTCTTAACTGAAACATGTCCCACTTGAGAATGTCGTGATATTAAAAATTAATATTGACCAAAACCTTCTAGCCTTTTTCTTGTCATTAGCATGCAGCAAGATAGTTAGTTACACTTCCTTCACCAATTTTGGGAGTAGAGTGAAAGAAAATGTGTGGAAGTGTTTTGGAAAATCCAGAGCAGGAAATCTTGAGCTGACAGCTAAATTCAGTTTTGCTTTCTTTGTCTTCTGGAAATTGGTGAGAGAGAATAATCAAGCACAAGTGAAGACTTGAGTATATAGATATGATTTAGCGGTGGAGTTGGCAGTGGTGGTTTAATGGTTGGACTGAATGACCTTAAAGGTCTTTTCCAACCTAAACAATTCTGTGATTCTATTAACAGCTTTAGATGGATTAAACTCTAAAGGATAGGTAAGGCTAGATCAACTTGCACTCTACTGAAGGAGGAGAAGGAAAGTAGCTGCCATATGACTGTCACATGAGGTGATGTGGGTGCATCCCTGTCTTCTGGGGTGGATATACAGTCTTCTCGGTGCTCTTAGACCTTTATTAGCAAACTAAGAATTTGTTTTATCTTTAGAATAATTTTTGTGGATATCTTTGCCCATGTTTCTTCAACCTTGTTCCTAGCCAAATAGGTGAATGGACATACAGAATGTCAGCTGTGAAAACCTCTAATCATCTCGCTGCTCTTGCTTACTGCTCTGGGGAGAAAGGAAAAAATATTCTGTGTATTTTTAGCTATGACCAGCAATGTGACAGTGAGAGATACACCAAAGAAATAGCTGGTAAAGTTGCTTTAAAATAGTAAGGAACTTCTTCAGCAATAACAACTTTCAGTCCCCACTTAGCACAGTCAGCTGTATAAACTAACATTTTTTAAGCAAGAGCTTGGATTAGGCTCAATTTTATATTTAGCAGCCAAGTTTAAGTTCTGAGAATGAATGTTTAACCCTAATATGGGATACTACTAGGCACTGTTAAAAGTAGGTGAACAACTTGAAACAATTAAATGGTGAATTTTAGTTCATATATTGTCTGCAAATGTCTGCACTTATAAATACTTATTGTCAATCAAAAAAGTTAGGCAAATGTTTTGTATGAGGAAAAAATAGCTCTGTTACACTCTTCAACATCTATAGGGGAATTATAAATATATCTGTTAACTTTAACAGCATAGAAACAGTCTTTCAGCATTCAGTTAGAGACCCAAGTTGTGCCAGAAGTTGAATACCTGTAAGTTTTACAAATGCACTGATCAGTTTATCTGTGTCAGCCTGACACAAAATGCTAATTAATGATGAATCCCTTTTAGCATCTAGCACAATGGATCCTGATCCTTGAAATTTAAGGATTGTCAACTTAGATTTAAAAAGGGACTAGATCTGTGTATGTGTAAGAAGTTATACTCATTGGCACTGAAACAATTCTAATTGGCATGTTCAGTATCCTAGTTCAAAGCTTGCAGAAGTGTCCACCAGAGACGCTCCTAGAATGGCATCAAACACAAAGCTGTGACTATCACTTAGGGTTGCTGCTGTAGAGTCCTATGCCCCTGTGTGTGGACCCTGTGAACAGCAATTCCAGTCAGTTTCTGAGTTGCTATTGGATGAAGTACAGCTCTGATTTGGTAAAATATGAATGTTCATATCAATAGATTTATTACTCACAGAATTAATATCAGTATCTTGCCTGCTGTCTTTTGAGGCTGTATTTTGACAACAGCCTGGTTTCTGCAGCAAAGCCTATTCAAGGAGATCGTATGCTGTATTTCACTGCCCCTTTATGCTAGCACAAGGAGCAATGATTAGGTTTGTCCTGTAACCCCGCAAGCAGTTGTGTATGCATTAATACTGGGTGAAGCAAGACCTAGAGGAGCTCTGTAGAGTAGTGTCACTGCCAGAACATATGAACTACACCTTCAGGATCTACCAGAAACAGGACCAACAGGCTGATGCAACCTGAAATCACTTCAGATGCAGCTATGGCTCAAGAAAGCACACTGTAAAATAGTTGCCTGAAGGTAGAGGAGTCTTTTCTTTGGTATTCCTTTTTTCAATATTGTTTCAGCAGACTTTCAGTATTTTAAATGTGCTAGAATTGTGCCTCTAGATTGCTTATCTTTAAATCATCACCTGCGTTAATTATTGCTACATTTTACTACTTTTACTCCTGTCCTCTTAAAATAAGAGCTATAGGACAGTGATCTGATTTTACGTGACTGAGACACAGTAAAATAGCACAGCATAAATATTAAACATTTCCATTTATTTTTTCAGAGCATTCACACTTAGGATGTTCCACTTAACAACCCTTAAAATAGCCACTTTAAACTATTCCCTTTCAAACAAAGGAGATACATGCAAATAAATCACTGCTGCATTTTTTATGACAAACATCAAAACATTATAGGGAGCATTGCTCCCTATATATATACTATATATATATAGTATATATATACATACACACTATATATATATCCAATCATATACTGAATCATAATCTCTTTAAAATAAGTGTCTACTGACCTTATAAGATATAATTGGGCTTTTGAAACATCTTATGGACTCAGCTGAAACACGCAGCAGTGCATTAGCTATTAAAAAAACCCAGCTCATTAAACTGGCAAATTGTGTGTTTGACCATCATGCCATTTCTTTGGTTTCCAGATCATGTACAAGCGGGAAACAGGGTCAGGACCTTAGTGCTGAAGAAATCTCGTGAAATAATGCAATAATGAAGCTAATGTATCCTTACTGTAGACCAGGCACCGAGTAATTACTGTGCTTTTTCAGTGTTTTGCATTCACTTTAGTGTCCTTATCCACTGATATCCACAACCAGTACTGCCAGATCATGCCATAGCTGTCCACACAAGGCTCAATATATAACTTACTTTCAGGTTTGTCAACAAAGAGCTGACATTTGATGCTGCAGCCCACTTATTAAAAAGAGATATACCATTGGAGGCACATCACACAGGCATGTGATTGTTATAGCTAGGAGTTGCAAACCAAGGAAGGAAGCTTAAACTGCTCTTTAAATCCAATCTGTGTGTGCTGCCCTGGGTTGAATAATTACTGTTTGGTCATGCTTATTTACTTCATGTCATACTTGCTCTTTATGATAAATAAACTTGCTGTTTATGATCAAGCTACAAACTGAGCTGATTTTCAAGGAGGTACTGAAAGCTTGGGCACTTTAGACAAATACCCTCCACATTATGTACAATTCAGTCTGATGCAAGCATGGGAGTAGGAATCGAAGAGAAGCTTTATTTTTGGCATATTATATACTCACTGAATAAAAGTGCCAGACAGTACTAGTGGGAGCTTAATATGACCTAAAAGATACCAGTTCTGATTTACTGCAGTTAAACACAGTGGCCATAACACCTTATTTGAAGAGGGAAAAGTCTGCCTCATTCCAACAGGAATTCTACGTCTCATGAGTAGGTAAATGGCATCAGCCTCAGAGGTGTCACAGAGAACTTCACGATGTTGGGGGCAATCAGAGAGAGTAGACTCCATGACTGGCACATTTCTGTGAACTGTTTCAGATGTGGAGAAACCAAGCAGTAATAAGCAATATTCTGGAAATAAGGAAAGGAGAACATAGAAATAATATTGGAAATAACATTTTAGATGGACAATACTCAGTCTGCCCTGAACAGTTGTTGTGGTTATGTAGTATTCTATTCTCTAGATTCAAATTAAAATTAATCTATCTGGCAGCCCTTCTTAATTTTACACTTTAATCTTACCTTCAGTAGAAGCAGGTCTAAGCTCTTAATCAAGGACAATCGAGGAAGCTCTGCACAGATGCCAGTTGACTAATAAAAGAGCAAAGCGGGTCACTGTCCTCTTCTCTGGGTGGAAATAATTTTCTTCAGCTGTGCTGCAGCAGTAACAGTCCTTGGCCTTTCCACACTGGTGAATAAGGGCCTGGAGAAACTTGTGAGCAATATTTATAAATGGATCTTGTAGGTCACCGACAACAGCCGGAAAAAAGCATGTTGGCAATCTGTTCTTAATTCTATTTTAAGATGCCATGACTTTCTCAATGACAGGTACAACTTAGACCTGCAAAGCTAGAGGCAAAGATCAGTATATGGTATATATTGAAGGCCATTTGCCTCAGGCTCATGATACAAATGCTGAAAATTACTGTGGAGCAGGTCCAGATGATGACCCATTCCATACTTCTTATATGACTTCTTTTAGTGTTATTTGCTCAGTACTGTCACTGTTGCTACCTTCACTTACTAACCCACTAGGCTCCAAGGCAGCAGGTGTCCTTTCACGAATGTGGATTATGTTATTTCCTGCCTTGTTCAGCCTCTTGTGTCCTCTGGATTAGCCATACCATAAATTTCACAAAAATTTCATAAAAACCTGTCAAAACAAGATTTACTATTTATGTAGACTTGTTTTAAGCAGCTCATATTTCTTTTTAGTTTTGTGATTTCATCTCTTATTCATGTATGAAGGATCTAGCCAGCAACAGTAAGCAGACTCTTGATTTCTCCTTTTTTGCTTATTTAGTAAATCACCTCTCTTCTACAGTCCCCCTCTGAAAGTGCTGGAAACCTTTGCAATTATGCCACCAATTTCTTCCAAATACACTTGAGCTGCCTTTCCACCCAGTTATCACCCTATGTACTTGAGTCTATAGTATGGAAGACAGTTTTAGGAAACTGTTTGCCAGTGAATGATTGAGCATAAATAGTTTTCATTATTAAAATGTGTTTTTCAGTTAAAATACAGTGTCTGAACAGATCATTAGAATGGTGTACTGTTAGGACATTGAGTGCACTTGATCTAGGTTGGAGGTGCAAGGGAAAACACATTCTTGGACAAGGTTTGTTCTCTCCAGTTATTTCCTGGATTACAGGTAGTAAAACAGAAACAGGGACAAGCAAACAATTCACTGTCTGTATCCTGCTGCAGTTGCAGGTAACCTACCAAATACAGAGGTAACTGCTCAGCAGCAAAACAGAAACTTAAAGAGTTTTTGTTCTTCGCACAAAGCAAAAGATAGCTTTCATGTACGTGTTGTCAGACTAACAGAACTGCTTTTGCTAAAAATGGGGAACAGTTGGCAAGAAGTATTATTTAGAGTAAGGTAGCAAAATAGCATCATTGAGAACGCATGGAGTAACCTGAATGTAAGTCTGCTAGGAAGTCAGTGATATAATACGCAATTCTCTGAAAAATAGTTTTGGGGGAAGGAGAGAAGGGGGGTTGTGCTGGATGGTTTTGTTTTGGTTTATTGGTTGGTTTTTTTGTTTGTTTTTTTTTTTTGCTAAGTATGTAAACACATACATACCTAAATATTTCTCACCTTTTGGGGAATTAAGTGGGAAAATATTTTCTTTTAATCTTGTTTTGGAATGTGGACATTGGGAAGCTTAGGATGAGTTGACAAATCAGGCAATCAGTGAAATGCTGTGAATACCCCTCTAATTTTATAGATATATAGATTATCAAATCAAAAAACACTATTCTGATCATCAGTCTGATGGTGCCCTAAATCTTTATGAGCAGCTGCAGGCGAATCAGGGAGGACAAGGGAAGAGAGTTCGTCAAATTAGCAGTCTCCTGTCAGTATCCTAATACACCTCTGGACATGAATTATATATGGTATAGACCAATACTTAGCTTACCCACTTTTATCTCAAACTTTTCTCTTTTTCTTCTTTGTTCTTTAAGAACAAAGCTGCACAATGTATAGGTTGTGTGAAGGTGTTCCAAGAACTTCTGCCTGTAATTACAGTTATGGTGAGATCCTAATAAGATCACTTACTAGGGTAGGGAACAACATGATTTCTTCTTCCCCCTTGCCTACAGACTGTGGACCAGTGAGTCCTAAGAATTCTACTGGTCTTGCTGGTCCACACTATCTGACTCCATCAGCGCATTTCCTAGAGACCCTTCTTGAATCCTCTTGTCTTCAGGACAGATGAATGTACTAGCTGTACTATTTGCAACTAAATACGATTGGGAAACCTCTCTGGGTTTTAATTTCTCTTTTTATAATCTTATCTCTTCACAGTCTTTTCTATTTCCCAAAGATGATGTCTAGTTGAGGTAACAGGACAACAGGGTTGTTTAAAATTTTTCTGATACTGATCTTCAAGAAGCAAAATCCCTCCCTGTGACCTTGCTGAGCTTCCAGAATGCTGGAAGGCAAATTTCACTCACAAATGGTTGTCTCTGAAGATGTCCTTAAAAATTAAGATCTAAAGTCTGAGGGCTGCTCTGCAATGATAAATAACAAAAATGACCTTAAAGTAGAAGCATATTAGTGGGTCTTAGCCATTATTGGTGGAGTGGAGAAAACTGGAAAGCAAATGCTTTCTTACTGTCTATGTGTTAGGCCTGAGGTGGAGTTCTCTGTTTTGGGATAGCGGGAACAATGCGTGCTTTGGGTTCCAGCTGGGTGTTTCCCAGCGTTAGATCCACATGCACGTCTGTAGGAGAGCCATGCAGAAAGTACCAATATCCACAGAGAAAGTGAATGTCCAAGAATTTGGAATGCTCAGACAACTTTAAAGCACATCCTATTTCTTCTAGCTTTTAGTAGAAAATTGTGTGCTTTTGAGGGATTGGCCACCTGTGGTGTACTCATCTGTTTGTAACTGAAGATGTCAAAAAGACAAGTACTGTTTCTAAGTTCTTGTGCCTGTAAGGTGCATTGTATTCTAAGGCATTAAGTCCCAAATACTTTTGCTGTGTTTTAATTGATTACTTACGTAAGGGGAGTGAGGGGTGTGGGGTGGAATTCTGTGCAGTTTTGGTCTGCAACTAATTATAAACTGTAACATGGTTAAGTGGCATTGTTTATAGTAAGGGGCGGATATGTAGCGATGTGAAAGAAATTAGGATAAATGGGAACATGTCTACTGTAATGTTTCAGATTAGAAGCCAGTTGGTGTTATATGAAGTCCTAGACCACACAAACCAGTGCTAATGATGGAAGAGAGTTCAAATCATTCTCTCTTAGAGGACCTTAACAGTGGTAGGAAGCATTATATATTTATTATACAGAATATGTAGAACTTTGTGGCATCTTCATTTCTAAAGATATTTGGAACTCAACCATATAAGGCCCTAGAAACTAGATTCAACTTAGAAATTAGGCTTCTTGAAGTTAGTTAACTTTGAAATTATTCGTCAGAAGATGACCTCCTGAGAACCCTTCCAACTTAAATTGTTCTATGAATTTGAAGTTTTGTATTCAAAAAGACTTAATCCCTTTCCTGATAAGGGAATCAATGAAGACTTTCTAGAAGAGACTTTCAACTGTTCTTTGATTATTTAAAACTGTAGATCATGTGCATTCAAGGAAAATACTTGCAACAGTCTTTTAGAGAATACCAAGTTTGTGAGAATGCATCCTTACTTGCATATGAGTGATATTTTGTAAGCATAGATTTAGAAGGAACAGCTGAAAATGGAGTCTCTGCTGTGTCATTGCAACATCACTAAAAAGAAAACTTGCAATTCTATATGACTCATGTCTCAGGTGATACCATGTGATGTGTGGAAAATAGAGATTTTTGAAGCAGAATCAACATAATGTTTTTTTTGTGTTCCATTGATTCAACCTCATTAAAGAAATATGCATAATTCTAGCCTCCCACAAAAAACAAACAAAAAAACAACCAACCAACCAAAAAAAAAACCAAAAAAACCCACCAAAAAAAAACCAAAACAAAACAAAAAAAAAAGAAAAATAAAACCCAACACAACACCCCCACAGCAAACTTTTATTAAATCAGAAAGTAGAAATAAGGTCACAGAAAGGATGATCAGGATTACACGGGAAGTCTCAGCCATGTGAGTCTGTGACTTCCAAGGTATTTGATCAGTATGTGTAATTGGTGTTAGTATTTCTCAAATTACAGATATAAGTTATGTAGTTAGGAAATCTCTACAAAGATAATGGACAAAACAAGCCATGAATTCTTCTTACTTGACATGAACAAATGGTGGAAGGAGTAATATACTGCTTACCTTTGAACCTCAAACTGTGATTAGTCTTTCAAGCAAACAGTTGTGGATTAGTGAAAGTAACAAACCGGTATGTGTGAGGCCCATGTGCATAATCCTGCTCCCAGCACCCAAAATTGTGAGTGGACTCTTGGAGACAGGCTGGGAAAGCAGCCCCTTTGACAACAGTGAACCTGAACCTAAGGCCAGGCTGGACAGAGCTTTGGGTGACATGATTTAGTATGAGGTGTCCCTGCCCATGGCAGGGGGGGTGGATGATCTTAAGGTCCTTTCCAGCCCTAACTATTCTATGATTCTAAGACATCAATGTCTAATAGTAGAAGCCTAATGAATTTTTCATATGAGAGGCTAAACTTCTTCCAGCCCTGATTTTGGAATTGTTTAGGATTGGGCTTTTGGAGTGGTTCATACTATTTAGGAATGAATCACCCCATTTGCTTCTCACTGTAATTGTCCATAAAGAAATGTGATCACAGTCATCTTGTTGACCTTACCCTGTTTAATACATTCAGTGATTTACCATTCAGCAGTTGTCTCTGGCTCAAGGCGATTTGAGTGCCAACCTTCATCCACTGCAGCCAGCTCACTACAGCCTTGTGTCACAGATGAATGTTTAAATTACAGCACTTGCTTTCACATATGGCTCTTTCATTCACAATGACAAGAGTAGATTCCCCATCTGCTGTCAGAGCTAGGTGTGATTCAGACAGAGGCTAAAAAAGAAACATTCCTGTCCAACTTACTTGGATGTTTTTTTAGGTAAATGGGTTGGTGACGTCACCAAAGCGTGAATCACTGCAGAGAAGTGGTTTCTAGAGCAATAAATGGCTGATGCCTCCGTGCTGCTGTGCTTCAGTTAACAGCTCTGGTCCTTACAAATAGCCTGCTATTTTTTACAATTAGATTGCTTCCCAGTGTCTGCTGATTTCAAGGTAGTTTTTGAGGAAGAAATGTCAGAGTAAAATTTTGATGGTTATGACGTGCAGTGTAAACTGGATTATCTGGTTGCCAGACCCCTTGACATATACAAAACTGACACAACTTTTAAGTCTACCTCCACACAAG